AGTACACACCGATTCCTGCCATTGATCTGAACATCTCAAGGCCGTCCTGAGGCGACGTTGATGTTCGGAGTGCCAACAGGATATGATATGTAGAGTACAGAGGATCTTAACAAGAGACAAAAGGAATCCTGAAGGTTTCTTGTTTGAAAAAGTCACCTGCGAGGGCCAGCACCGCGGGAATTGGGGCGGGCGGGAACCCCCGAATTCGTGCGCACGTGCGCAGTGAAAATGCAAAAAGAAAACCTTAGTGTTTACTTACCACAACCGTACTGTGCTGGTGCAGGTTCGCGGGCGGAGTCTCCGCCGTTGCTCCGAGCGGTGCTCAAGCTCAAAGCTCCCCGATGGCTGCTCCTTCCTTTCTAAATATAGGAAATGCATTTCCTATTTCTGGTGTGAAAGGAGGTCCCAGCGTCGTTTCGAACGAGTTACAAGGCCTCCTGGCCCAARACCCCACGTGAGGGTCAAAACATCGTCAGACCCCTTCTCTGGTCAGGTGGTACAGTCAAATGGGCAGGAAAAATTCSCGCTATTTCCTGACTTCGATGTGGGCCAATGGGATCTGTTTGAAATCGACCTTTATTGATGTTCGGAGTGCCAACAGGGTATGATATGTAGAGTACAKAKGATCTTAACAAGAGACAAAGAAATCCTGAAGGTTTCTTGTTTGAAAAAGTGGTCTGCGAGGGTCAGCACCTCCACCCCAAACCCAATATCCCCCACTCTTCATGCATCTTTTGAAATGAAATGACTTGAAATGATGACAAATTATTTCATATGTCTTGAAGAGATTGAAATTGATGCAGCATATCGTGGAACGAGCGGTTGCTAGATCAAGGAATTTGAAAGGCAGCCAGTGCTGCTCTTCCAGACATGCATGCTAAATATACCCAAGGCTTGATAAAATCAATAGAATTGATTGCTCAATATGGTGTAAGCAAGACTATTGAACAAGAAAGAGGAAGGACTCTTTGGTTTCTTAATTGTTGGCTCCATCAAAACGGGGTGAGACGAGGATTACTTGATTGCAYTGATCTRGATATGCTGGCTTTCCTTGAAGGTTGCTTAGTTCCAAATCTTAAGAGGGATTCCCGAACTAAGGATCGGGAGGGGAATGGTTTGTTGTTGTGAGCACCCTARAAGATGCTATTAGTTGTTTGAGCAATGGTTTTCAGATACTTGATCACRAGGGCGYCAATAACCYTTGTGAGTCAACCAAAGTTAAAATCTTTTTTTCGTCGATCATATCAAAACTTGACTTATAATCAAGGAGTACTTGAGGAGCAAGCCCCTCCCATGACTAGAAARAAGATGACGATCTCTCGAGAGGGKATAAGAGAAAAGATGCGTGTGCAGAAGGGATAGGCTTATGCTGCCTCACTTCGAGATTTATGCATTATGACATATTTGTGGGAGACTTAGCAACAAGGCGGGGAGGGTTTAAGACTTCAAGAGAGAGAGACATGGATAAAGGGGCATTGATTGTTCAACCAAGTCATACAAAAACTCAAAGACGCAATCGCTCAGTGATTATGAGGCTTAGAAGGCCAAATGGTAAAGGAGATACCTTTTTAGAATTATTTGAGGAAATAAAGGGTTATTCCCGATCGCTACGAGAGGATCTGAGTAGTGAACCAATTTTTCGTAGTACACAATCAAAGAAGGGGTTAACCTTTAATGCATTTAACAGGAGCTTGAAGAAATGGTTGATTGATCTTAAGATAAATAATCATGAGAGTAGTCACAGCTTAAGAGCTGGGGGAGTCCGAGAAGGAATCCGCAAAGGTTGGCCACTTGAACAAATGCTCACTCAAGGTTCTTGGAAAAATTTATCATCCTTTGTCAGATACGGTCTCGGATGCAACCATCGATCTTCATGACTTGATTGAGATTCTTCTTGCTACAAGTCCGAACTTTGCTGGATTTGGAATGCCCAACGTCACTCGTTTGCTTGGTATAGAGGTTGAAGGTTTCTTATCCAAGGAGAGGGAGCCCAAACACGCGAAAGCCATAATGGAAGGATACCATGCTGCCAAGGTGGTCACCAGAGTTATGAGGAGATATTCACCTCCATACCTCTTCATACATTTGATGATTGGACTTATCAGGCATGTTGGGGGGAAGATCCATTGATAAGGTTCCCTTTGAAGACTAGTCCAATTTAGGGACAGCGCGTCTACCTCCAAACATCCCCTGCTTAAATTTGTTGAGATGAAAGTGGGGCAGACATGGTGAGCATCTGAGGCAAAAAGGTCTATAGAAGGAAATCCGAATGCCTTTACCAATTCAGTGACGACGTGCGGTGCAAGACCCCAATCCGTTGCGTCTTGGAGTTTTGACAAATCGTCAGCCTCAGTATTAAGGGTTCTAGGAACCCAAACTGGTCTTATCTGACAGTCAAACTTGAGCAAAAGGATGGCAATTTCCCTCAGCATTCTATTCAGATCCTCAACGGGGGTACTCCAATTCTTTAGGAGGGCAATGACTCTAGCATTATCACCGA